GGATGATGACACAGGTTGACGTGGACATAGCAACACATATAAGCATTGAAGATGATGGACCAGACCGCAGGTAAAGGAAACCCCATACCTTATCTCAAACTTTAGAAACCATATCTTTACTTATCTATCAAAATGCATTTACTTTCATATAATGATCATTGATCCATAACTATTGTTGAGACATGCAGTTTACTCTACATAGAAACAGCAGATAGGCCTGGACTACTGGTTGAGCTGGTGAAGATCATTTCAGATATCAGCGTCGCTGTCGAATCTGGAGAATTCGACACCGAGGTAAATAGTAATCCTGAGTTTAAACAACCCTTAATTTATTCTTTTGAAGATATAATATCGATCTGTTTCTCATGAAATTTCTTCTTGTTGTTGTATGTGAAAACACAAACAAACAAAAAGGGTTTGTTGGCTAAGGTAAAGTTCCATGTAAGCTACAGAAACAAAGCCCTAATCAAACCTCTCCAGCAGGTATTAGAAATTCAGAAATCAGATTACATTTCTCTTGGTTCTTATAATTTGCAGAGTTAATGAGTAAAATCAAATTTTGTTTGTAGGTTCTTGCTAATAGTCTGAGATACTTCTTGAGGCGTCCAGCAACTGACGAGTCAAGTTTCTGAAATGCCATATTTTGAAAAGAAAAGAAATTGAAATTATCATTTCCATATAACAACTTTTTTTTTTTGTCACATTTGACCAAAATAAGCTGCTTGATTTTAGTGGCATTCTCACACAACATTCTGTAATATAACATGCTCCATTCATCATCAAATTTACCTTCATAACCTGTGGGAGTAAAATCTTAATATCTACAGTGCTATAATGATTAGAGAGGATCATTAAACACAAACAAAGCTCAAGCAAGCAAAGCACAATTGAAGAAGTTAGTTTTGCAAATATGAGTAAAACGAGTCTTAAATCCCCCTCCTAGTTATACAAATTCAGAGATTACAATGTTCTTTTTTTCCCCTGTTTTCATAAAACGGATTTAGATAAAACCTTGAGATAGAGTTTCACCATATGTAATGTTATTTAAATGACAATGATCTTTCTCCTTTTGCACTCTTCCATCAAGCGCCACTTGCATACAGACGAGTCCATTCTTTGGCTGCATGGGTTCAAAATTGATATGAGATTAAGAGATTAGAGATGATGAACAAAGATTTGTTGAGAGTTTATAGATCATATTTTATCACCTGTCTCCACAGCTTCTGCTTCATTACTCTTCCAATGCTTAGCTATGTTCTCAGACAGAGGATCATCAGGGTTTGGTGCACTTAGGAGAGCTTGAATACTATTGTTTTACACGGTCATAGGAGATTAACGCAAGTGTCAATAATCAATTGCTATACTGTTTTTGTTTAGTAGTGAGAGAGAATCTAAGGAATATTTTTTACCTCAGGAGCACAGTTCGTATTTGTAATGCAGGACTCCATTTGTCTTTCAGAATGTCAAGGCAGATCCTTCCAAGCTATATACATAATGCAAGCAAACAAAGATACGTTTCTTAAGGATTTATATGAACATGTGTTTTATCTTCATTTTAAGAGAAAACAAAGGAAAGATTTCAAAACAGACCTTGTCAATGTTAGGATGGTATATCTTGGTGAGAAACCTAACCTGTGTTACAAATGATACATTAATAAGACCCACAAACTCTAGATCAGTGTAGAAACTTTGTCTAATGTTACATGTGATAAATCCATTTGGGAGTGGTAATAAGCCAACCAGAATCACCAAACTAATAAATAACCATGATAGCCAATTACAATGCCTCCACTTAATATCGTGAGGACATACTAATTTTACTCAAGATACAACGGAATAGCCACAAGCTCACAAAAAACATGAAATGAAGAAAGAAATACTCTGAAGCAACTTACCTTGGGAGCTGCCATAGGATATTCTTCAGGCAAAAAGAGCTCCAACTTGAAAACTCCTCCTACAAAAATTGATAATGAAACAAAAATGATTGGTATGAATGATTAATCGAAATTTTAATGTAAGATAAACAGCAGATTTAATTCTGGAAGAAATAATAAAATAGAAGACCCGAAACTCTTCTTAGCATTGTATACTGTAGAACGTAAGGGAACAAAAGAAATCAAGGGTAGCTTATAGACTCATAGTTATCGATCCCACCACAATCAAACCTCGTCTCTTCTAAACTAACAATCTATAAGATCAATAGATATCCTCGAACATGTTTCAATTGTAAACGAAATCACTAAAGTAAAATGCATTGAGGACAGAATCACAGAAATGAACCAGGCCGGAACTCTAATGACTGCAGAATTCAAGGGAAGAAGTGATCAGTGAGCATCTTTAGAGATTAAAAAATAATTTAATACCTTCATAAGGAGATTGTGTAGGACCAAGAATCATAACATTGAAATACCGCATATTTTCCTCTGATGGAGACGCACTTATCCCAGGAGCTGCAAAAGGGTCGATTGATTGATATCCCATTAAACTCAGAAATTACGAAAAGTATCGAAACTTCGAATCGAAAATCCATAATTCAAACTATCGAAATCAACAGTTCTCAGCTAAAATCGACTGTGAAACTCAACAAGGATAGAATGAAATGATGAGTTTACCAGGTTCACTAAGTAAGCGTTGAGTTTCCTAGCAGATCGGAGAAAACAAAAAAAAAGGTCAGATCATAAGTTGCAGAGAAGTAGAAGAAGATAAGATCAAACAAATCATCAAAAATTCCCCCGGTTCCGATGAGCTATACAAGACGACGGTTCTTCTTTCGGATTTCAGATTAAAAACCCCAAAAAAAAAGAAGAGGAACATAGAGAAATCGAGATCGGAGGAAATTACAATCAGATTCAAGAAACGAACCTTGATGATTCTTCGGGGAAGATTACTATTCGCCATTATCGCGAGCTATCGGATTCGATTGATTACAGAGAGAATTTAGGGTTTTTGAGAGAGAACGAAGCTACGCACGGTGATGATAATCCAGGAGGCTTCGTCGTCTCTCGTTTCGTGCCCCTTTGATGCTTTTAATTCTTTTTTTGTTTTAAGGAAATAAATCGATCTTTTTGTACTGGTAAATAAATAAATTCATTTGGAGAAAATCAAAATTCAGTTTTTTTTCTTTAAAAAATCAAGTCAACTAATTCCCTATACAGATCAGGATATTTCAGAAAACCTCTAGAAACATTTTTCTAAAATAAAATAAAGTTTTTTAAAATTATTTTGTTGAATAATCTTATTCCCATCTTTTTCTTTTTGCCTTTTACAAGGCGTTGGTCAAACGCCAACTTAAATAATCTCCTTTCAACAATCTAAATTGGAACCGCAAAATCAATAACAGGATAAGAAGATCGTTTTTCTTTTACGGTTCATTTGGAGATATACTCAAAGCCGAGTCTCTTTCCCACTAACGAACCGTGAACGTGCGTAGTTAAAAAGCCGATACTAATCAGATATTACATTCCACTCAAACAAAATTTGGTCAATGCACTGAGTTAAAGAGCTATGATGAGTCTACAAGAGTTCAGGGGTTTGAGATCATTTTGGGACTCTTCTAAGAATTACGTATTTGCCGAACACATTTTTCTCCTGCCACTTGTAAGGGATGAAGAACGATCTATACTTGGCTGGTGAAAGCTCTCTGTCCAGATAAGGTAACACCGCGATAGCCTGAAAAAGCGCGAAGGAAAAAACGATTGAAAAGAAGAAAAAGTGAAGTTTAAGATGGATTTTATTTCAAGGAGATGGTTTGCATTCTTATACCTCCCATGTCGATAAGTCGCTGCCACGATATGGATACGGTCTGCTAAGCTGCAACTCGATGAGGAATGTACAAGTTTCGATGTTCTTTAACTGGACAAAGAAAAAAGACGGAGAAATCAAGTGATGCTCGAGTTTATGATTAGAGAACTTTGAAGGGTTTCATGAGAATAGAATGTGTGAGTTTTTACAAATTGTTCTTCGGATGCCTGGTTCTTGTTGTTGAAGTATGGAGGTGATGCTGCAGTGCCTCCAAGTGTACTGTTAAATGGGAATGGAAGAAGACCGCGGAATCCATCATCGATCCACCGTACTTCGCTAATGAAGTCAGGAACGAAAAACGATGATGGGTATCGATGCCATTCGCTACCCACACACAGAACAGAACCTGACATACCAATAAAACCAACCAAGAATTTAGCAGTATTCACAAAAACTTTAGACAAAAATACTTTCTTTCTCTTTGCCCAATGTCCAATGGATAATTACTATTTTAGAAGTAAAAGTGAGATATGATCTTCAATTGTGTTTGCATTGTAATGATCGAAGAGTTCTGTTTATACCTGGTCCTGCATCATCATGGTGCTCCAGTAGTTTGTAGACCTCTAAGGGGGCAGAATAGCCATTGATCAGAGAAAATGTGCGACAATGTGAAGCACATAAGATAATACCAAGAATCACAGGTCGGAGGTATTTGGTTATCTGCATATTAAAAAGAAAGGTGAGAATCGTACAATCCAATTCTTTCCAATAATTCAGAGACTGAGATATTGTAAGTTAGAACTTACCGTCACCAGAAGACTTTCACGTGAGCTATACTTTTCCCGGAACAGCTCAGGAATGTTCTCAATAACAGCAGAAGCAGAAACACATATAAGAGGGTATATAGGATAAAGAAACCTGCAGCAATTAATTGACAATCAAAAACATTGTTGGTTGCAATATGGTAAGAGTATCAAAATCGGTTTCCTCAAGATCTAGAAGCCACCGTATAATACAAGATGAAAGATATAGAAGATCACCTTTCTTCTTTGTGGGGCTGAAGTGACATGAAGGCCAGCCAAATATACATCGGCGAAATCACAACCAGCAAGCCACGGTCATACTTTCTTCTGATAACAGGATATATTGCGACAAACAATATTGCCAAAATGAAACAAAAGTTGAAGTTGTTAAATCCATTTCTTATATAAAATAATGGTCCTTCGGTCCCATAGAGATGGCTTTCTCCACCTCCTAGCACATTGTATATCAAGAGATTCAAAACTGAAGATGTCCATCTCTTGTAATAATAGTAATCCACAAGTACTGAAACTCCCTGGAAAAGAGAAAAAACTATTTAGAAGCGAAAAGAGTAACTTAAATTACAGATGCAAATGAAGTCCCCTACATAAAATCCAAACAGACAAAGATCCGAGGATTGGTATTAACTTACAAGGAGAAAAATGGAGGTGACAGCACCAGAGATAAATGCTTGCTTGAATCTCTTAACCAAAGAGTAAATAACGACAGGTAAAAAGGCCAGGATAGAAAATGGCCATCCAAGAATCACCCCGACAACCGAAACTGCAACAGCCATGGCATACTTCTCGAAAAGTAATAAACCAGATGAGAGACTGATGGCATACATAGAGAATGAACTCGGGAGGAAACCTAGCCAATTCCAGGAAAACATAAATTAGTAAACTAATCAGAACATAATGTCAAATCAGAGCAATGGAATAGAAAAATGTCATCGGAATAACTAGTACCAGCATTTGAAAGTAAAACTATAAATCATGAAAGATTGGAAAGCTTATATAATACTATATGCCTGTTAAGGAAATATGAAGAAAAGTTTAAACAAGTACCACAAAGATACACTAAACAGAATACTCACTGGTGCTAGCAAAGAAGCAGCCACTGGTTAAGCAGAGCATTGCAACTGCGTATGTAGCAAGACGTTTCCCGTACTTTCTGGAGAGTGCAACAACAAGGACAGTGTCTGAAACTGCAGAAACCAGTCCGAGAAAGAGTCTCACCGCGTAGAAAACTTTAATCTATCCACAAGAAATACACAAGTAGATAAGAGATAAGCAGTGACATACCAATAAGAATAACACATCAGGAAATCAGCAATGTTTACCTTGTCGTCACCAAACCACCAAACAGCAGGCCTCCCCGCCAATTCATGGAAAAGAATGTATAAGTACGATCGAAGAGCAAAGTTGGAACTGCAAAACAAACAAAAGCAATTCATCTCACGATTACGATTTCACATATAACTCAAGTTACAATCCTCTTTATACATCAACCAAGCAGAGGCAAAACTAAAGGAGCAATTGATTAAGCTCAATAAACTAAGAAAGACTGCATCAAAATCAAATTTCCGCTAAAACCACACTCAAACTTCACATTTCTGATTTCAAATTTCAAACAACTTTTCACTCAAACACAATCCATACTCTCTACTTTTATCACTTATACTGCTTTGACCTAACATCGTGGCTCTTACTCACTACGAACATCACTAATACGCATTATACAAACAAACCTGTATTCCCAGGTCTGAAATCCGGACTTGTAGAGAAGATAATGAAGAGGCTCCCAGTAATTGAACACTTCATCGCAGTCATGAACGATATTAGAAGTAGCGCTCATGTAACGAAGATAACAAAGCGCCATAAACGGTAAGAACCACCGGAGTCCACGATCCTCCGCATCACCGCCGTTAGATCGGCCAGGCTTGTCGGTCTTCGAGTAAGGCTTGGTC